ATCAACACGGCCAGAAATATTGTTGCAATAGAAAATTGGCTGGTTGAATTTTTCTCCATGAACATAGAGCTGCAACAGAAATTCCAATGCTGGATTAAAAACCGAACAAATCCAACAAATTAAACACAAGAAGCATGAAAACCGAACAAGATAAAAAGTAGGGCAAATTACGGCCACCCCTGAGTTATGGTCAAATTACGAAAACCCCCTCCTGTTTGGGTAATTACAACCACCCCCTCAACTATGTATTATCTTACGAAGAAACCCCTCTATAGGTAAATTTAGGGATGTTATATCGGTAAAACCGAACCAAAATTTCGGTACGCCAACATTTCATACTGTTTACCGAACTGAATATACGATTTGGTTCGATAAATAACCGAATTACATAAATTTTATGTAAAAATATTTAAAAAGAGGGGGTGGCTGTAATTACCCAAGCAAGAGGGGTTTTTTTCGTAATTTGACCATACCTCAGGGGTGGCTGTAATTTGCCCTAAAAAGTATCGTCATTACACTAACAACTCATGCTCTACATATCTCCCGCTACAAAAACTTGTATATGATACAAGAGCCGAAACTGAATCTTTTATTCTTTTTTTTTAATTAAAAGAAATTGAAGCAAAATAGCTACTCAACGATGAATTCGATTAACTAGAGACAAGAGCATATCTTTTTAGCTCGGGCGAAAATTCCTTTCATCGGGATGCTCTCATATATTTGAAAGCAACGACTTTCAGAGAAAATGCAAAACTACCCGAGCGAACAATAGGTCTATGTGGCGCAACGATAACAATTATTACAGCAATGGTTTTAAGAGTGGCATACGAGGGTGGTGATATATATACATACCAGGGGCATATCAAACGCAACAAAATTCCCAACAGGTTTGCTTGCAACGAAGACCATTCGGATATTTGACAAGAAGATGGTTCCTTTGCCTTTAACATTCCCACCTTGATTCCTGTGAGTGTAAAACACGAAAAACCCATTTATGATTATCAGTGTACAATATATTACTTATAGGCTTCGTTGGGTTCATGGATTTCGAAATGAGGAAAAGGAAAATGGTTCTTAAGAAAAATAGTAACGAAAATGATTTTATGGAAAATCACTTTCACTGATTTCGTAGGGTAGTTGCGATAAAAAATGGAAAATAAGAATTAAACTGAATTATTGTACAAATTTTTATCTTGTCTTGACTTTTTACCTTCAAAGAATAAACGAAAATTCAATTCCTAACCAAAATAATATATATCATGTAAGAAAAAAACATTAAATACGGACCATAAAGCCTGAAATTTAGCTTCAAAGTCGCCCGACAGAATAGATAAACCATGCAAACGTTTCGACAAACTATCGAGGCATCAAGAAGAGCACTAGAAGGATGATCATATTGGAATTAACATTAACAGGACACACCCAAATTTATTGATCATTAGCGGAAAATCTACGAATTATTGGTAAATATTACGCTATAAGCCTGGAGCATAGATATATAATTGTTGTAATTGTTAAAGATTCGACGAGAAGAAGTAACAACAGTTCCACCTTCTTCAATTCGACGCCAATAGTTCAAATTTACTATCCAATGAAGCCATTGAAGTGAGTCAAAGAAACCAACAAAAAAAAATGAAAAACAGGATGAAGTTATATTGAGTTTTTATATATTTGTGTTCAACAAAATTATGTTAGTTATGTAATCTCTGATCATAACAGAGGGTTTATTCTGATTTCCATATCAACAACAGTTATCCAATATTGATTGATTTAATTCTTCGTGGATTCAACCAAATCGAAAAGCAACCAAACAACAAATTGAAATAACACCGAATTGCAAAATCAGAGAGAGAGAGAGAGAGAGAGAGAGAGAGAGAGTAGGGGGCAAACCCAGGGATTTTGTCGATCTCAAACTCGACGCCATCTCTGGCCAAGACAAATATCTCATTGACGAAGGGTACAGGCATCCCGTTTGGGTAAAGTTGGGGATTCACAGCCATTTTCTCTAATTATATCTTAGGTTTTTTCTCTCTCTCCTTCACAACTGTTTCTTGCAGAGACGATCAGAAATTGAATCACGTGATCGACCGATGACCTCCAAATATAAACGCGATTGCGCAACGACCAAATACGGCGGCGGCGACGGTGGCAGATTGAACGGAGAAATTTGATGGGATGTTATGATCGCAGCTTTTGGAAGAGGACAGGAAAATTAAGATATTGGGAATTTTCAGAAAACGCCGTCGTTTAATTGCTCCCTTATTTATTTGTTCTCTCCTTTTTTACTTCTTATCCAGTGTTTACCAAAAATAGGCTGGGATATCTCCACAACATTCTCGGAACTTCTCGAATCTATTCATAACATTTGGGCTTTTATACGATTTTTTATGGTGGTCGAGAAAGCCCATTTCTTCATATTCTCTGAGTTGTAGATTTACAAGCACACAGTGTGACTTTAGTTTATTTGTAACTTTTCAACAAGAAAACCTCACAATTCTCTAGAAAAAAGGAAAAAAGAACCAAAATCCTCTCACTATTTTCGAACTATTTGGAGTTAAACGAGCAATTACGGCAACGATTTGAGATGGATGAATACTTGTTTGCGTAAATTTAGCATTGTATTGTTGTTTAGTGCCCTAATGGCATTGATTTAGGTTAGGTTTGAGGTTGAAGCAATCGATTTCAAAATAAAAATAATATAATTTATGTTTCGTGCTACGCGGAATGGATTAATTTATTTCGTGCTCTATAGAATGAAATAGGGCACTTTATATTTTTTTCATGTGTTTCGTGTAGATTTCCCTGAAAAATATTATAGATATATATTGGAACCAATTGTCACAATTGTAAAACTTTGAAGACAAACAACGTCGTAATATATAGTTATGGGGACACCTGAGTAGTCATGAAATTGAATTTATTGCCACATCTGAAGTGTCATCATATCTATATTTGGGGCGTCTATAGTTGTCATAAAAATAGTTAATTGTATCATAGCGAAACAATCAACCTATTGATATGGAAGACCCAACCGATTCTTTCAATGTCTCATTTCTGGGTCCAATGGAATTCAAAGGTATACCAATCCTCTATTTACGTATCCTCGATAGTATCCTCTCTCATTAGGATGTCCCGTGGGCCCTTTCCTATATGTCAATAGCCACCGGATATCGAATCCCCCTTCTATTGCCATCAACACTTGTGTGGGCATCTTACTTAAGACAATGTAGTTACTGTATCGGGCATTTTTGTATTCTCGTCAGGGCATCTCCTGAGCTGGGGCACGTCGGCTGGGCCCCGAAGGATCTCTATCTTGCGGGGTCGCGGGGCAGCCGTCCACTATTGCGTCGAACAAGTAAGACTTCCACTTCGTCCTCCTTCATCTTCCTCGTCTCTTCCATAGTAATATACTTTTATGTTCACTTCAACAGCTCTTCGTATGTGGAAGGCGGTCTCTTTACGAGCGACCTAAAATGCTCGCCATGCTTCAATCCTTGCATCAAGGCGTTCGTGAGAATATCCTGCAAGAGGCCCGGTACTTCTCGAGTGGCACTCGTAAAACGGCGAACAAAGTTTCTCAAGGACTCCCGCCCTTCTTGTCGAACACTAAACAACGTGAGAGCTGACTTATTTTGCCTTTTGGAGTTTGCGAAATGTTCTAGTAACATGGAACTGAACATTTCGAAACTCTTTATAGATCCTTCAGGTATTTGACCGAACCAGAGTTGAGAAGACTCTCGTAATGTGGTGGCAAAAGCACGACATTTGAGTCCATCTAAGAACCGGTGTAAATAGGCAGTAGTCTGAAACCTACTCACATAATCCCGAGAATCGGTTGTACAGCTTGGTTGACTATCCTTTGATTTTTTTTCTAATGTAACTGCCACGGAGTCTTATGACCCTCATTCTGCAGGGCTATCCTCACTAGCGATGTAGCCGGCATGAGGGGATCTTCCTACCGTGGTGGCGATTATTTTGCTGCTATGAATCAAGCTTCCAAATTCTCGCGTATTGTTGTCATTGTACCTACAAACACCAAAACACGGAAAAACTGGGGGGTTACCATGATGAGGAAACAAAGCAATAATTAACTCATGTCTATAACTTAAATGTTCCCACAGACGGCGCCATTTGATGTGGCCTGTTTGGCCAACCAATATATAGGCTTTATAAATATGATGAGTATGGGATTATATTGTTTATGTTTTTTTTGGGCCAAGATAAGAATACATTTTCCACTTAAATGGTGTTTGATATTTAAATGTTCTCTGATTGAGTGAGCAGGAAATAAATATAAAATAACTTGGGTCGGAATAATAGCTCCGATGATCAATCCGATCAGAATATATTATTTTTAAAGATTAAAATAGATATATGTCTTCTTTATATAAAAATGGCAAGCTCAGTACTAATATGATTATACTAACACCCTACGAGTCTTATGGGCCCCATCTTGCCACATGTAAGGCTTACATTGATCCTCTTGCCGCCCTTTACCTGCTTTACCTTGCTACGTGGGGGCGCTATACTGACTTCCTTCATTGCCGCCCACCTATTCTATTATACCAAATGTCTCCTCACATCAAGTGTCTCGCCTACTCTTTACCTTTAGGCGAGATAAAGAGAGCTTTAGACGAGACAACTTCGTCCTTAAGGTGATGTTAACCTTTATAGGGACGAGGTTACTCTTCCTTAGGGCGAGCTGACTTTGGACGTTGGACGTTTGATTACTGCCCGCAGACTTTCCATTTTATTCCTGACACCCTTCTTCAAGTTGTCTTGTATGTCCCCCATGTGGATGACCGCAAACGAGCCTTCATTTATCTAATTGGGCCCATGTTGCTCCAAAGGCTAAATGGCCCAACAGCCCAATGAGCCCAAGCCCTCTCTATTAAGGTGAAAGCAAACTGATCGAGATCAGTAACAATTATGAGCGTCATAATACACTATGGTCATAATACACTATGTAGCACGAAAAACTTCAATTTCGTAACATTTCTGTGTAACGGACGCGTTTCGTGTCGGAAACTCGAAGACACATACCGGACACTTATGGGCCATTTTGCAATTTCTAAAAATTTAGAAACATGTTTGAATATGAAATTTTCAAATATTTTCGTTGTTTAACTAATTATTAACATGATTTACTGATTAGTTGCAAATTGATAGTTATAGTAAAATTTATTTTGAATATATTTGTATGAAAATATATAAAAAGAGTTTATCTCTAAAAAAAAAAACTTATATATGTTTAGAGTAAACTGCAAATACTACCCCTGTGTTATCTTGAAATAGCGAAAACCCCCCTGTGATAAATAAACTAGCAAAAACCCCCCTGTGAAATTTAGTCAAAGGCAAAATCCCCCCTAGCTGATTTTTTAGACTTGAAATGACAAAATTGTCCCTCAAAATGTATTTATATATATACATATTTTATGTATATTTATTATTTTTAATTTGTTTGTTTAGAAATTAAAAAAAAATAGTAAACAACTAAATTGATTATTTTTTAAATAAAATAATTAAAATATTTATAAAATATAAGAATTTATTAATTGCAAGACTCCAGGGGTATTTGTGTCTTTTTATATCAAGTCAACCCTCAAATAGTTCCATAGGGGGGTTTTTGCTATTTAAATAATTTCACGGGGGAGGTTTTTGCTAGTTTATTTATCACAGGGGGGTTTTTGCTATTTCGAGATTACACAGGGGTAGTTTTTGCAGTTTACTCTATATGTTTATGTAGCTTATTTATAAATATGCACTTATATTATAAATATTTATATGTCTCCCCAAATTTTTGTATCCTAATTTCGGGGACATGTCGTTTTCTTGTGACTGTTTTTCATTTTTTCCATATCGACGTTTCCGCATGTACATAGTAACATAGGTAACACATAGTTGGTAGAACATGACCCATATAAGATACAATTTAAAGTATATATTTCCTTTTTTTTTCAATGTATATATATTATCTATAGTAAACTATAAATTAAATAACAAAGTGTTCTTCTAGTAAAATTAAACACTTGGAATTTGCAACACTAAGTGTATTCCTTAACGTACGAGAGGACAAAATTTACCATGATTTACATTCATCCATCAAATACTTATAGGGTCAAGAAATAGGGGCTCTGAGAGCAAAAGATTTCGCCTTTTGGTACAAGAGATAGTGTACTTTACCGAAAGAAAAAAAAAATTCAAATTCTAAATGTTGAGTTGTATTTCCTTTTTTATTCCTCTTAGAATATGAATTTGAAACTTGCATCCAGAAGTTGTTAACCAACTTTATCTAACTGTCACTTCAATAGTTCAATTCCATCTTACCAAACAATTAAACAAAATCCAATATATCATACAATATATACCATAAATCAAAACTTTACTTTTTATGTGTAAACTATCACCAAATTACCAACACTCTATTTTGAAAATTAAAACACTTCGAATATATTTAACATTCTATGTCATCTAAAATTGTAAACATTAACCAATCATTGTACTTGTATTATCTTGGGGAAAATCTAATATATAATATGTCCTATAGTATGTCCAATTGGTCATCGGACGATAAACGGTGACCTCTCTGCTAATCGACTTGATCAATGATTTTTTCGTACAACCACGCAAGAGTCAATCATAGTACATTTTGATTCATTTCCATTCGAAGTAAAAAAA